TTTGCAACACTGCAATTTCTGAGAAGATTCGAAATTGGCGTGTGTCAGATGAAATCTCACTGATCATAAACACATTATGTTTGAATGGGGTGGAGGTGATTTACCACCTTCTGCATTTAGAGATCCTAGGAAAACAAACTGGGATCAATATGCCCAGTGCTTAGATTCAGATATATTTACAAACGACGTCAAAATCGATTCTATCCAACAATTGGAATCATTTCCTGAAATGGTAAACGAAAGAATTATAAATTACTACAACAGTAACTGTCCTATCAAACGGTCTTCTTCTAACAGGAATGTGGCTTGGTGGAATTTGAAATTGGAACGCCTTCGGAAAGTTTCACGTAAGATGTTCAATATGGCGAAAATCACTTCTGATTGGACTCAATATAAGAAAACCCTATCTGATTGATTGATTGATTTATCTTTATTAAGGAGGCTTTCAGTCTGAAGAACCCTATCGGAATATAATAATGCAATACGGAAATCTAAGAGGCGGTCTTGGATTCAAATGTGTGAAAATATAAACAGTATGTACTCCTATAGTCGCGAGATTACAGAAAACTCTTGCGAAAGACCATACGATTGAACTGGGTAATCTTAAATGTAATGATGGAGGTTTTACCAAATGTCCCTCTGAAACTTTAAATTTAATTATGAAAACACATTTTCCAGGTTCAGTTTTGTGTGTGAAATCAGGTAATTCAGATTCTGTTGGTAAAATGTGTTCAATAGAAACCATGCCAGTGTCTCAGAGAACCGAAAACACCATACCAGATATAGCTGATGAAATTTTCACAATTGCCAAAATTAATGGCATATTCCCGGCACTACTTCAAAACGATGAAGCAATGCTGATTCCGTCTCTAACTAAGATTTATAAGGCGAGTTTAAGATTAAACTACATTCCATCAAAATGGAGATTGGTAAGAGTTATATTCATACCGAAAAACGGGAGGCGTGATAAAACGCAGCCAAAAGCATTTAGGCCCATTAGTCTCTCATCAATTTTACTGAAGACTATGGAAAAGTCGTTGAATGGCTTCACCAATTCAACTTACATAACGCATCCAATATCTAATTTTCAGTTTGCGTATCAATCTGGAAAATCAAGTAACTAAAATCGAAAAATCACTTTCAGTCAAAGAAATCGCCTTTTAATATTTCTTGGATATTGAAAGAGCTTTTGACAAAGCATCCTATTCTTCTATGGTTGACGCCATGAAGAAAAGGAACTTCGACACGCACATTGGCAACTGGATTCATACTATGCTTGCAAAAAGAAAAGTCACTTCTGGGCTGGGAAGCTCATCTATAACAGTAAAGGCAACGAAAGGCTGTCCTCAAGGAGGAGTCCTCTCACCACTAATGTGGTCTTTAGTTGTAGATGATCTTCTAAGAAGCCTAGAGGCGAAAGGTTTCGAAGTTGTGGGCTTTGCGGATGATATAGTCATCGTAGTTAGAGGAAAGTTTGACGCTATCATTTCAGGAAGAATGCAACAGGCTCTAAAGTTAACCCAATCTTGGTGTATTAAGGAGGGCCTAAACATCAACCTAAAGGAGTCCAAGCTTGGAGGAGAACAGATCCATCTTAGTGAACAGGTCAAATGCCTAGGAGTTATATTGGATGCCAAGTTGAATTGGAATGCTCAGATTGATTCTGTGATCAACAAAGCAACCAGTGCCCTGTGGTTATGCTCCAAAACTGAAGGTAGAAAATGGGGTTTGAAACCAACAATGACAATGTGGATTTACACATCAGTATTCCGTCCAAAAGTAACTTATGCTTCGTTAGTGTGGTGGCCAAAAACGAAAGAGGCTACCGCACAGAAGAAGCTGGCAAAACTACAACGTCTAGCATGTATTGATATAATGGGTGCGATGCGCAGCACCCCATCAAAAGCGTTAGATGCAATTCTCAATCTACTGCCCTTGCATGAATACGTGCAACTAGAAGCGGAAAAAAGTGCTCTAAGGCTCAAAAGGTTTAAAATAAAGTCATGCCTGGTGACCTGGTTAATCACCTAAGCATTTTACAATACTTCCAACGAGGACCAGTGATGAGTATGAATGGAGACTGGATGAAACCAGAGGACAATTATGACACTCCCTTCAACGTATGTGAAATGCTGCGTTCGGATTGGGAAGTCGGTGGTCCTAGCGTTCGTCAAGGCTCAATCATATTTTTCACAGATGGCTCAAAAATTGGAACATACACACTAGACACTGTGGCATTGAAGGGAATGAAAGGGCAGACGATCTCGCAAAATTAGGTTCCAATTCACCGTTTATTGGCCCAGAACCATACTGTGGAATATCAAACTGTACGGTAAAAATTGAACTCAACGCTGAAAAGAACAAAGGGTGATGGCCAACTGGATGGCCGTCACGAAGTGCAACCAGTCGAAAAGATTTATAACTTAGTATATACACTGGCTTAGTAACTGGGCACTGTCCGAGTAGATATCATTTGAAGAACATTGGTCGGGTTCAGAGCGATATCTGCCGTTTCTGTAGCATAGAACGTGAAACCTCGGAACATCTGCTCTGCAGTTGCGGTGCATTACACAGGCGTAGATCTAAATTTCTTCGTAGTGTTATTTTACAACCTAGTGGAATTGGGTCTGCTAATCCTGGAAAGGTATTTGGTTTCATAAACCATATCATACATGACTGGGAAAGGACGTGTCCAGGAAAGTTCAAATAATGGACGCAGTGGTTCAACTCCCCCCAACAAAAAAAAAAATCGTATGGTGATCACTCCAGTTATGCAGTAGTGGCGGGAAATTCTTGGGTGCAGTTTCTTGTTTTGGCACCACTTTAACTATGTTAACTTAGTCAGATGAAAACTTAAAACCCCGTTTTTGAGCATCAAAAGACTGAAAGCCATATAACCTCCAACCAGTGATGCAAAATATCATGACACTCGCTCGACACTCGTCAACGCATCAACCGACTACCGCTGACAGAACGTTTTGTCACGCAGTGAAAGGTAGAGCCATTGTTTCAATAAACTTAAATTTATTTCTGGAGGCAATACAACTGGCACCTCTGTTTCAATGATACTTTCACGATAGCTAGCAAAGCAATAAAGTAGAAATGGTTTTCTTTGTGATAAATTTTGTTCACCAAGAGTTTTGTGAAGCAGTCGTTTTGAGTTTCGTGTATTCGATTGCGTTTGATTGTGCTATACTTCGAAGAACACTAGTAAGTAAATACAATGAATGTGTTTTACCCAGGAAATTTTCGATCTAAGATCACGAAATACATGTTTTAAATTTTCGTATTCATAATATATGAATGTATGTGTAAACTAATGATGATGATTTTATGATATTTAAAAAAAGAAGAAGAACACAAAATTACTTACCCTTTGTAGAACCTTAAACGGAAGCTATTGGGCTCACTCACCAACACACTCACATGAGCAAGCAAAGCAGCAACTACTTTAAAACGAGCACAGATGAGTGTCGTAATTGTCGGGAATGACCAGATCTTTGATGGATCACAACCAAAGACGACATTCACCAGTTGCTTTTTACTTCTTTCGTCAACTTGATGGATGGTCATGGAGAGTACTTCGACAAGCACATTGATAGGAATGTACCAAGCGTTACTAGCATCAGCTGTTTGACGACCATGATTGTGATGGGTCGCAACTCTGCCTCCAACATAGTTCGTAACAGTCGATCCCGCCAAGAAAGTTCAACACAATGGCATGTTACTTTCAACAACTTGACAACGAATATGGACCCGCTACAAGAACATTACTCAAGGACTACGCCACGCAAAACCGGAAACTTGGAAACACAGTGTCGAGAAAAGAGTTCCTTCTCAGGTGCAGGAGAACGGCAGTGTTTCCAACGCACATAACAAACGTCTTCAGGTGCGTTTTTCCGCTGATCGAGGATAACAGCCCGTACCTCAACGAGCTGAATCGGCACGTCGCGCAAAACGCTTATAAACATTCCAAAGCGAATATCTCAATGAAACTAACTGGTTTCATGATGCAATCTTCAGCAAAGTTGTTACTCATTAACTGTTTTGAAAATCTGAAACAAATTGAGAATAAGGAAACTTTTTCATGATCAATAGAGTGTAGGAGCACAGACAAACAGACGTAACTCTTCATTCTGGATCATCGTTTGCGCATTTAACGATTGGTTTGAATGTTATCGTTTCCGCGAACTACTCGTCGTAGCGCTGCCATCGGATCACTTTGACGTTTCTATATATTCGGTTTATGTTTTATTCAAAATCTCTAAGTCTAAATTTGGAGATGCTATCAAAACCCGATTTAGAATCGGTTCAGTTCTGCAGATCAAAAATTTCAAATTTTGCATCAGCCTAGTATGAACGTAGATTAAAAAGTGACATCATTACATGTATTTAGACATTTCCTGCTGAGGCATGGTATCACCTGGACATGTACCTGATTGCACTCCTGCTTGTGGCTAAGGAAATTACGTCTGCCACTCAATGGTTTCCCTTATTTGCGGTGGATCTATTTTCGGAGCACTGCACATCTTGAGCTTTGGTGGTGCATTTTGATTGTATGCAGGACAAAAACCCACGTGAAAAGTTCTAGAGAATGCAATTCAAGGATGACCATTCGATAAGGGTAGGCTCACGCAGTCCTTATTCGCTCATCAAAGGTTTTATATTTTGCGAAGGGGACCATCCATTAAAGACGTAGCATATGTTTGTCCACTATAGACCTCCCTTTCCCCTCGTAGCGTAGCCCTCGGTCACAACAAATTAAAAAAAATGTGCTGATGGAAAGCAGTGGAGGACCTCCTATGGCTTCTGAAAACAAATAATTTAGAATGTCTCTGATAGGTAACATAAGGACAAACCCTGCTTTTAAGTGTCCTTATATTAATTTCCATCAGTGTAGTGTGAACGCTGCAATGTTTTTTTTTAGACTTCATCTGCCATAAACTTCGTTCACTTTAAATCTTAACGATGTTAGCACTGACTAGATTGATGATACTTACAATCACTAACACCAGATGAAGATGGAGTCCCTCGCAGAACATCCAGAAATAGTTTACCAGCATCAGGTAATGCAGCAGGATGTGTAGCGCGATGCACCAGTTCTGAAAATAAACGAAAGCAAAGAACCTCCTTAACTACAAGATCCATCAGGATTTCAAAATGCTTTTTTTTTTCTAGGAGAAATTGGCGTTCACTCTTTACCTCGCCGTTAATTGGACCAACAATAGCGAATATCTAGTTGATCATTTAAATATGTCCTATCCTATGATCGATTAGCTTCCAAAACAATCCCTGTTGTGTTTAACGTTTTTGACGCTAGCTACTAACGACTTTAATAAAATTGTGTGACAAATATAGCGTGGAACAAAATGGGACCCATTGGAATGTTAACCTAGAAATATAATGCATTAAGTGGGATATCAACTGTTTCCTCTATCATCGTCCCATCTACCTCGAATATCCTTAGTTCAGGTAACGACGAAAGTGCAAGTCGACGGCGATAGTGCGTCGTAAGACCACCGAGAAGCACGACCGTCGTCGTTGAAAGACAAGTGGTGTGGAGGAGGAAGTTCATCAGCAGCGCATTTTCGGATTGCACCTGGAGGTGAAATTAAATGCCAGGGGCAAACGAAAAATCCAGAAGACGCTCAAAGAACCTGTGGAACTGGCTTGTGGAAGCTTCCATTTACTCGTTTATTAGACAAACGAGTACCGTAAAGCGAGGTGAAGTTGATCAGTAGAGTTATTTTAAAAAAAAAAGCTCGTTTATTTGGAAAGCTCAATCGCGTTCATTGTTCATGGTTTGTAACAAAATTCACTCATTTCTATGTGTATCAAACATATGTTTGAAAAAATATTCAGGTTTATCGGTAAACAGTGATCAACTTCTCTCCGTTTAACGGTTCCACTTAATACACCTTCAGGTGATCCTTGGTGATAAAAAAAAAACGTATTTCACTGTACCTCATTGCACATGGCCATTGTATGAGTTGTTTAATTACTGGAACTTTGTCCACTTCAATGAAAGCAGGTGAACTGCTTGCATAACTGATTTCCTTACTTTGTTACCAATTACGTGAAAGCTTTCGAGCAATTACACCGTCTGAAGTTCACTAGCAAAATTATGGTCGTAAAAAGAAAGGTCATTTAAACGGACAATGCAAGAAACTTTAAGATCAAATACAGTTTTGCACATTTCATATTCGTTTTTATTTGCTATTTAACCATACGATACGAAGAAGGAACCTACCTACGTTTCCGAAAAGTACAACCAAAATAAACCTCAACCATTCGCTGTAGTTCGCTGCAATGCAAGCTCATGACTGTATGAACGAACAGCTCTTCAGCGAAGACCGGACTCTATTTTTTTACTTTGTATACTATTATATAGTGTGCCAGCAGACCAACAAACAATGAGGGCATCCTAAACCAACACGTTTCACGTGCTGAATCTTGGTCGGATGGAACAGCAGCATTGGGCAAATGTGGGACGTTGACACATGGAGTTTGCATGCATATTTTTTTACCTTCGGAGACCGTCGTGAAATATTTCCCAATCCGAAACATTCCTGTTCCCGAACCGAATCGAAACAACCCCTGTCAGGGCAGCGTGGATTTGCTTTAGACCTAGGTACCTGCCGCTTTAAACTGACTTTGCTAAGGAAGGCCTCGAAATTCTTCTCGACGAACGGTTTGATGCAGATCCCACACACAATTAAAAAAAAATCGCAGATCTCTCAGGAATTGACTATTTTCCAGGTGAATATGAATTTCCGCAGAGCCACCTCTCACGGGGTCTCCCGTCCCGACTGGCACACCACATTTTCCATCGGATCCCTGTCTGCATACCTTTCAAAAAGTGGCTCAATCATAAAATTTGCTAACCAAATTGCCGAGAGTCATGTAAACCATGAATCAACACGCATTTTCAGCCTTGATACTTAGAAGGAAGTTTCGAGGGCTTGGGGTTGTCAGAAAAAAGTGGAAATTTTGCTAGTGGATTACGTAGTATGGGCACTCACATCAGACACAGTAAATCTTGCACTATAAAATGTTTTAAGTTCTTGAGATTTTATGTAGAATTGAAATTTGCATCCGTTCTTCATTCAAACTAATTAGAGTCGTCAGCTAGCCGACGGGTTACAAAATCGCTAAAAGAATGTCTACATCGATCGGCTTTCGCTAAGAGGAAGAGGAGACAATAGGTGAACCAATTTTCTGTCAGCGCCTGTTAGGTCAGGCGAACGTATGGAAACGCGAGAATTTTTACCACAGGGAATCTATTTTCTTGTGTTTTGACAGTCGACTGCGTCGCCCAATAGTTTTTGCACGGTCGTTTCCGCGAGAGAACAAGAACACGTCACAGACAAAAAGAAGCCAGTTGTCTCCTCTTCCTCTTAGGGCTTATACGTTTTTGCTTCACTGAAGAAGGTTCCATTCGCAGCCTGCTTGGTTTACCGCGCACACCAACTATGCCTTAAAAATAAAGTTAATTTTCCGAAACTTTTGGCATTGATTGACACAGTCTTTGGAATTATTTTTCTTTCAACCATTTCTACTTTCGATCTGAAACCCAAGATTTTGTCCGGAAGCACTATTCACTAAAGCGAATAATAAAATCATTTCCGACGTGGGACACATAATAGCTTTGCGACATTTTTCGATTATTAACTCGCTGAAGCACAACTTCCAGTTGACGCCGTATCGATTTTCGAACCTATTGATTGTAAACAAACTCATATGTATGCATGTCAGATTGTTGTTCTGATAATTTCTTTTTACATCAAAAGTGCCGGAAACGAACATCATTTCCATGGACAACAAAAAAGGAAACGAGAAAAATGAACTTTGCACTCCGTTATGCTATCGCAATTTTTGCAGTCCTATGCGACGAATGAGGAACGTGAATGTTTGTGGATTTAAGGCAGTGGTGTTCAACCGGGGGAATTTTGGCCATCCAAGTGGTTGATAAAATATAACATGTTACTTTAAGTTTTTAGTAGGAAATTGTTGACGGTATTTGAGATTCAGCCCTTCTACGATTACGAATATAGTATATTGCGTCATCAGCAATCTAGATGCTCTGAAAATCTCTCGCTAGCGAATCAATTTACGGAAAATATTTTGTCACTTCTTGAATCTAAGGCTGTGTTCCATTTGGTAAATTTTCACTTAAATTTGACACTTTGAAAATAAATTAAAATGTTCGAAAATCCCTCTGTTGTAGATCGGCCGATTTTCGAGAAAGCGTCTGTCAAATTGATTCCTTGTCTGTCAGAAATAAGACTGCTGGAATAGCAGGTTTATTTGAAAATTTTCCATCTGTCAAATTTAAGTAAAAATTCACCAAATGGAACACAGCCTAAATCCATCTACTCTCATCCTTCGGATTGGCGGGAATCTTCAAAATCTTCAACAATCTTTTTTCTACATACATTCGGGAATCTCACGACAGCAAATCAAAATCATTCATGCGGCATGCCCGCATAAACGCGAACCATAAATTGACCTTACCTAAAATGGTTAAAAATTGTTTATAATCCCTGCTAAACTTTAACTGAAATGGTTATAGAACTTTACATGAACGTTTAATGATAAAGTTTCAACCTTATGTATTATGGTTTTTTGGAACTGGACCTTACAAATAATGGGTTGTTAAGAACCATTACCATTCCAAATTCTTGTTTTCTCCATACATTTTCGGAAAGAGAACTATATTAGAACCTTTTAACTTATGGTTAGAGAACTTTAATGGTAATGGTTATGGTAGTCAGTAAGGTCCACGAATGGTTTTGTAACATCGATCAACTTTATGTGGAATATATCGCGAATTGGTTGCCTGTAATTTACTGATTACCAATTCACGATATATTCTACGTAAAGTTGAGCGATAATACAAAACCATTAATGGACCTTACTGACTACCATAACCATTACCATTAATGTTCTCAAATCATAAGTAAAAACGTTCTTATATAGTTCTCTTTCTGAAAATGTATGGCGAAAACAAGAATTTGGAATGGTAATGGTTCTTAACAACCCATTATTTGTAAGGTTCAGTTCCAAAAAACCATAATACATAAGGTTGAAACTTTATCATTAAACGTTCATGTAAAGTTCTATAACCATTTCAGTTAAAGTTTAGCAGGGATTATAAACAATTTTTAACCATTTTAGGTAAGGTCAATTTATGGTTCGCGTTTATGCGGGTGTCGTCTCCCTTGGACTTGGTCCTATAAACAGGCTTGCTGAAACTCCTATTAGTCTTATAAACAGGCTTGCTGAAACTCCTCAAACTCACTGGAGGTTTCAAAACACTCTTTTCCTGCGAGTTTAGCCAGCCCTCACCTCGAGTGAGTGGCAGCAGGAATATGGAAGAAGTAAACAAAAACTCCTCGAGAGAGAAGGAGAGTGAACTTCAGCGAGAGGATGATTTGACGTGAGGTGCGCTCTAGGCGAGTAAGAGAGGTGCCACAGTCGGAAGAAGTGTTAGTTTGTTTACTAAAATGAACCGCCCATTTTGTTATGGCAAGTTTTGCTATAAGAAATGCTCCTCGTGTTTATTAGCGAAATTCACATCAAAGATTGATTAATTGCACAGGAAATCAGTTTGGCACGGCATTTGTGACCAGCATACACCTTCCGGTCGTATGAAACAGGTCAAAACCTGTTCAAATCCGCAGATAAAATTTTTTGTTTTGATTTTCTGTATGGCAAAATAGTGAACTTTTCGTGAACATTAACGGCAAAGAACTCACCAACACTGGGAGGCCGTGAGTTCCTGCCCACCTGTCTTAAAAACATTTCGAGGTGCGCTTTTCGAGAGTCCGGATGAGTTTTTTGTTCGACGCAAAAAGCTCAGAGTTCACCCAGAGTGAGAGTAAAGCTGGGTTTAGACTAGACAAGTCAAATCAAGACCAACAATTGAAATGGCCTTAACTCCATTTTGTAAACAAACCTTGTAAGGCCTTTTTCTCGCGAACCGACGTCCGCAAAGGCAAACCAACATAATGAACAGGTAGGGGAAATCGTCCTCTACCCGATTGTGGTTTAGGTTTGCGAATGAAGGTTTCGGTTCGCGAGAAAATGGCCTTACAAGGTT